CAATCATATTTTATGGAGTTTAGACGTTATATTGAATAGCTTTGATGTTTTATTGAGCGTTCATTAAAAGTAACCGCCTCCAATCGTTACACACCAAAAACCTCATCTAGGAGTCCATCTGTGGCTCTTGTTAGTGAAACATGAACTGCAGGAATTAGTCCGACCCAAGTAGCTTTTGTCAGTGGGAACAGAACCGGGCCTTGAGACCCAGTGGTTCTGAAAATGGGTTCAGAAAAGCTGCACACAGAGGGTGTTTCTGACGTTTCCCGTGAGTTGGCTGTGGTTTGGGCTCCGGCCGAGGCCCAGCCTCCGATGAACAAACTCCATTGTTGCCCTGAACCAGAGGAAAACCATTCTCTCCACTTTCCATCCCGGCTCTTGTCTGTTATGTTTTATGTCATGTTGGGAAACTTCTTTTTCTCCAACAGTTGGTGAAAATCCTGAAGTGCAGAATGTTTGTGACTAGTGTTGCTGACGGGCCGATCCACATTAAAACATCTCTGGTTGAATAGAATCAGTTTCAGGTTACGTCCCAGACTGAAATGAGCCGCCGACAGGACAGCCTGCTCAGACTAGACAAACTGTCAAGGAATGAAAGAACAAATCCTGCCAGATTTCCAGGAACCGCTCAGTCATCTTGTTCTACTGTAAACAACTCAGAAGGTCCAGATCCAGTCCGTGTGAGGTTCCCAGATGAAGTGCTGTCCATGTGCACAGCACTGGAAATGAACAGCTGGATTAGCTGGGAGTGTGGAGATTACTGAAGTTAAAGGAGGACATCCTGTTTAGGCAGCTCTGACTGTCATCCTGGAAACAGACTAGACCAGTTGAGACCAGACTAGACCCATTGAAAGCAGACTAGACTAGTCCACACTGGATTAGACATGTTGGGACCAGTCGAGACCAGACTAGAATTGCTTTCGGCACGAAATCCAGGGTATTAGGTCAAACATCTTGCTATTGGGTCTGCTCACCCTCGGGGAACCAGTCTGTCTACACAAATTTTCTAATTTCACTGCTTTGTCTCAGGTCAGGTCCATGAAGCCCTCTGGTACTCTGGAGGACTCCCTCCCCCTGAACTACTAGTCGGGGCTCTTATGTTTTAGAAATTTTAAATAGCAGTCTACTATTGGGTGAAGTTCCCAGCTCTTTTAAACATGCAGTAGTCCGCCCTCTGCTGACGAAAGCTGGCCTAGATTCATCGAATATATCTAACTATAGGCCTGCTTCCACACTGGAGCACTGGGTGGGAATATCAGGCTTAGCACTCCAGTGGATAAAATCTTACCTGTCAGGGAGGAATTTTTGTGTAAGACTGGGGGACTGTGCGTCTGATACTGCTGAGTTGCAGTGTGGAGTGCCTCAGGGATCAGTCCTGGCACCTCTCCTCTTTTCCCTCTATCTGCTGCCGCTGGGTGACTTGTTTCGGTTGGCACAACGTCAAGTTTCACCTGTATGCGGATGACTGTCAAATCTATTTACCTGTATCATGCAATAACTCAAGTTCTTATAAACCACTCTTGGACTGCTTGGAGGAGGTCAAGCTATGGATGGCTCAAAATTAATTGTTCTTCAACCAGAATAAAACTGAGACTATCCTGTTCTGCCCGAAATACAAACATGGATGTGCCCAAGGGATTGACTCTCCTTCATTAGCGCCTTTTGAGAAGGCTGTGGTCACCAACCTGGGGATGAAGTTGGATGTTGAGCTCACACTGGACACCCAGGTCAATGGAACAATCAGATCCTGCTATTTCCATCTCAGGAGAATAGCCTAGATTAAGCCGTAAACATCTGGAAACTGTCATCCACGCCTTCATTACCACCAGACTGGACTACTGTAGCTCACTTTATGCAGGCATCAAGCAGGCCTCCATAGCGAAACTACAGAAGGTCCAAAATGTGGCAGCCAGGTTACTGACTGGTACCACTGGTAACTAACTGAACACATCACGCCTGCCTTGGCATCCCTACACTGGCTTCCAGTCTCTTTTAGAATTTTGTTTAAAGTTCTGGTGTTTGTTTTTAAATGTTTAAATGAGTTGGCACCACGTTATCTGGCAGATCTGATCCATCCTTATGTTCCTGCAAGGAACCTTTGGTCAGCACAACAAGGACTGTTGGTTGTTCCTAAACACAGACTACAATCTCGAGGGGGTCGTGCTTTCTCAGTGCTGGGCCCGAGGCTCTGGAATGAGCTACCTACAGGTGTTAAACAGGCCACCACGCTCGGCAAGTTTAAGAGCCAGCTGAAAACACACTTTTATTCTTTAGCTTTTATTCAGGAAGAGTCCCGTTCACTGATGGCTTTGCACTTTTTACTGCCCCACCTAGATTTTATCTGCATGTTTTTGTTGGTTTTTAAATGGTTTTATATGTTTTTATTTTTTTAATGTTTATTTCTGCTGTGCAGCGTTTTGTTTGGTCCTTGGGCCATGTGAAGGCGCTATATAAATAAAGTTTTAGTTAGTTAGTAGGGGCTCTCCCTGTGTTGGTGCCTTTTATTCTGGACATTGTCAACAGCAGCCTGCCTGCTGGCATATTTCCAACCACCTTTAAGAATGCGGTCGTACATCCGCTGTTGAAAAAACCTGGCCTGGATCACACTGACCTTTCCAATTATTGCCCCATCTCCAAACTCCATTATCCAAGATTATTGAGAAAGTGGTTCACACTCAACCTTTGAACCACCTGGGAGATGAAAGCTTCCTTGACCACATTCACTCTGGCTGTAGGCCTCACCATAGTGCAGAAACTGCACATGTTCATGTACTAAACAATATCTCGGTGGCAACTGACACCGGTTCCCCTGTTTGGCTGTTACTTCTGGACCTCTTAGCTGACTTCAACCCAGTGGACCATGACATCCTACTTAGGAGGCTGGAATTGTGGGCAGGAGTGAAAGGGGCCCCACTTAACTGGTACATTTTCTTCTCTCCATCTACGCCACTTCGCTGGGGTGTGCCTCAGGGTTCGATTCTGGGGCCACTCCTCTTCTCAGTTTATCTGCTGCCATTGGGAATGCTTTTAGCAAATCTTGGAATAAGTTACCACCTTTACGCAGACTACTGCCAGATTTATTTGGCTTTAAATAAACCAGATTCCACTCGGCTTATCGTTGACTGCATCTCTGCAATCAAATGCTGGCTGTCAGACCAATGCCATTCTTTTTTATCCAATAAATCCGAAGCATGCACCTCTGGAGTCTGTTATTCACGCCTTTATCACCTCACGTTTGGACTGCACCAACTTAGTCCTTATTGGTGTCAGGGTCTACTCAACTGAGCATCTCAAGAAAGTGCAGAATGCAGCAGCTAGCTTCCTGAAAAGTACCTCCAGACGTTGTCACATTTCACCCACCCTTGCCCGTTTGCACTGGCTGCCTGTTAAATACCGCATCCAGTTTAAGGTTTTAACTTTTGTTTTCAATGCCCTGAATGGTCCAGCCCCCGCTTACCTGCTGAACTGCTCAAACCTTACGTACCTTCCAGAACCCTGAGATCAGCAGGTCACCTGCTCCTGTGCATCCCAAAAACGAAATATAAATCCCGTGGGGAGCGGGCCTTCTCATTCGCTGTCCCCAAACGTTGGAATGCTCTCTCCCTCCGAGTCGGACAGGCCCCTTCACTGTGTCGGCTCAAGTCGGTGCGGAAGGCCAATTTTTATCATTTAACTTCTGATCGATAATCAGGCTTTTAGGTTTTACTCTGTGGTGTCCTCCCTGCTGACATGAGCTTACCTTTTAGTGGGTTTTCTCAGTTTTTAGTTGTGGCCTTGTTTTTACTCTAGTATGTTTCTTTTAAATCTTTAACTTATCGCCCCTTTCATCTTTTATCTGAAGTTTTATCTTGTTTGTTATCACGGACTTTCCTTCTTTTTTTTTTTACTACTGTACATACCTTTGGTCAGCTGTCATGCTGTTTTTGAACGTGCCTTATAAATTAACCAGGTATGGTATGGTAGACCCGTCGAGACCAGACTAGAACATTCCAGACCAGACTCGGTCTAGGTTACGGTGGCTCAGGGGTTAGGAGTTCACCCGTCTCATGTTTCATACACAGAGTAGCAAAGTTTTTGGCCTTCATTTGCTGGCAGTTTTGGCATCCTAAAGCTCAGATCTTTTCAGAAGGTTCTCTGCGGCTCGGTCCTTAGTCAGCTGATCAAGAGCTTTTAATCAGAATTTGTTTATGTTTTATTTATTTGGCAGACATTTGTCCAAGAAGAGAGGGCCATCTCAAGATTATGGAACGACCTGTTTATACGTGTCAGATTAGCTCCGCCTCTGCAGACTTTTAAGGGACGGAGATCCAGAAGCCTCAGTAGGAGCCGGTGGTAGGGACTAGGATCTGATTCGAGCATGTTTGAGTCTGTTTTGGATTTGTAGGGGTTTCCACGTCTTCCTAGACCAATATCTAAACATATACTAATGTTTACCACAACAGGGTCAAGGGTCATGTCAGGATGATCGTCACAAGAATGGTGGGATTGGATATTTATGAGAGCCAAACATTCACTCACAACAAACACAAGATGTTCCTTTATTAGGAGTCACCACTGATGCATTTTCAAAGGTATTTTTCATTTGACTGATTATTGAGAAGACAGTTTTCAGTAAAGCAGATGTTGTCCTCCTTTAGCCGGGATGAAACCAGCCAGCCGTCCTTTCATTAACCAGGTGATCCTTCTTCTGGCTGCTGACCTTCTCTCCAACTGCACGACTTTACTCTCAGTTCCTCTGATGTTTGTTCCTAAAAACCAGACGAAGGTCTGGACATCCTGGTCTTTCTGCTCTGGTCTGTGATCCTTTATTTGTTGAACCTTTGACGTTCTTGAAACCTTCTGAAAACCTGAAGGGAGCAGATGTTTGCCCCCTCTGTCTTTGGCCCCTGGCCTTGTCTCTGTCCCTGTCTCGTCCCTCCTGTCTTCGTCTACTAGCATGAGTGAAATTCCCAGAGGCCGACTTATTCTCAGTGTTGACATTGTCCTGCTGTCACCTCCAGCGCTGGGCTGCTCCTCCACAAACTGTAACGTGGTGCTAATGGAGGTCCAGGGGGAGTTCACGTCACCCTGCTACCCCCAGAAATACCCCAACTGGCAGAACTGTAAGTGGACCATTCAAGCCCCTGCTGGCTTCGTCATCGAGCTCTCCTTTTTGGACTTCGAAGTGGAGGAGGCGCAAGGCTGCATCTACGACCGGGTTGTGGTGAACACCGGTAGCACGGAGGTTAAGTTTTGTGGCTTGACGGCCCGCGGGTTGACACTGAACTCAACAGGGAACGTGATGGAGGTGTCCTTCACATCCGACTTCAGCATTCAGAAGAAGGGGTTCAAAGTTAGCTTCCAACACGGTAGGTTCAGGTCTCCAACCTAGTCCTGATGTTCAAACTAATCCAGGTTTATTCGTGGTCATCCTGGTTATTCTCATGTCAGTCTCAGGTTACTTTACCATCCATTTTCATGGGGATTTTACGGTTCTTCCATAGAATAAAATCCCATTTTTCAAAGACACCATCACGGTAAACCCCTGGTGATCAGCTACTTAGACATCCTGTAGCCAGGGGCGTGTCCAGGGAGTTGCCTCGTGTAACACATGCCACCCTTGGAATCTGATTGGCCACCCTAGATGCCACCGCACTAATTTACCTTTAAATAGGCTTTTCATTGTCCACAAAAGGCTTGGGGGTAAAACAAAAAAAAGCATAACCATTGATGCCACCCATGCGCAAAGTTGTGCCTTACCTGGGCCACCCCATTTTAAAAGATCTGGACACGCCACTGCCTGTAGCCATCTCTGAACGTTTCAGCACACACAGCCAGAAGGTCCTGGTGACTAAATGCTGTGAATGTGGTCTGTAGGAGTTCCTATGAATGAGTGTTGTTCAGATCTGGGTTAGTATAAAGTGTAATTATGACTATACGCTCATTTATTAGAAAAGCGGTGGGACGTCTTTTTACTGGCAGCTAATTCTGCGGACACATGAAAACACGGATAGTGAAATAAAACCTTTCAAAGTCTCGTTTAGTCCATTTATCTAGTGAGACCAGGCAGATGTTTCCAGTGGTTAGTAGGACCAACTCTTGAACTTCACATCAACAAACCTGGAAAGTTTCAGTGGTCCAAAACATCAGAGGTGAACTTTGAGTCCCATCATGTGACCTAATGCTCATTTCTTACTCTATCATCCCTAGTCGCCGTGGCGTTGAGGAACCAGAAGGTGAAGATATCTGATGGTAATGGGCAGGTCATCAGGGTCTCCAGCTCGGTCTCCATACCAGCGCTCAGAGAACTGACGGTCTGCTTCGAGGTGGAGCGCACAGCGTACAATCAGGTTTACTGACTTTTATGTTTTAAAGGTTTAAAGTGGACTTGGTTGGAAAACCGTAGTTTCCACTCTAAAATGTGCTAGCTAAACAAAAAGAGTTTAGATAAACGTTTGCACTAGGGGGGTGCACCGTAACAGTCTGGAGATTTATTGATCACAACGCCCACGAGACGAAGCTAAAAGAGAATTTAAAAAACAACCTACATAAAAATAAAAGTCCGCAAAATAACAATGAACACATATTTGTATAATATTTGGTCCACTTTAGATCAAATCTGTGGAGTTTGCATGTTGAGACCAGACCCTAATAAGGAGTCACACCCGTCTACTTCCGGACCAACGGGGCTAAAAACGCTATTTTCTAATCTGCTTGTTGTGTACCATGGATCTCATATGATGTCCGTGAATTTTAAAGTTGAGTTTTGATACTAAAAAGCGCTTATTTTCGAACGGGGTAAATGTTATTTTAGGTTTTGTGTGAAAATAAGTCCAGGACTACAAATGTGCGTCACCACAGTGGCGTCATCGAACCAGACACGGAGAAAAACAGGGAAAATGGCCTAAAATCGTTCCCACAGGAGGAAAGAACCACCATAAATCTGGTCATGTGGTGAGTAGCAGCTACGCTAGGGGGGAGGAGATTATGTGGTGGTGTCACATATGCGACGTGCCGATTTCTGGTGTGTAGTCATGTTAATTACGAACTTTTACAAGCTGATGAATCTCAAAGTACGTGACTGGCATGGTCAAAACACCCATCATTAGTTTTCATTTAAATTGAAGTACAACATGTGCGATGCAGACGAACCCTTCTAGCCCTGATTGGCTAGAAGGGTTCTCCTACGATTGGCTGTTTCGTTCAGTAGCAACCCGTTAGACTGTCCTGCCACCAACAGAAAGCTGTTTATGGGAGTTTTGTAAAGAAGCGTTAACTCTATAATAACCTTTCTGTCCTGTTTAGAAAAATAGTTTTATGTTTCTTTTATTTAAAAAAAACAGAAAAACATCAAATAAACTTCTAATGAATCCTGCTGCACGTGTCGCACCGTTGGACTTTATATCTGTGTCTCAAGGATGAACACGTGTGAATACCTGCTTACCCAGAATAAAACGGTCCTGTTCTGCCCAGCTGTGTGCAGCAGGTCTGTTCTCCTCTAGAATAATGAAAACGAGTGAAAATAGGTCTAAATCATAATCAGCTTTGAGTTAGTGGAGACAAGGTGGCCTATAATAGCAAAGTACCCCAGTGCTTCAGAGCCAGCGGATGTAAAGTCAGCCTAACCGTGTGGCGCGTTAAACACGATTTATCACAAGTACACGTTTGACATTTTTCTGCTGCTTTTATGAAAGACAGAACAAAATGTCTAAGTTAATTTTCACAAGTTCACGTTTTCTTAAAACAACTCCTCAAGATCTGGCTGCAGACTAAAAACCCAGCAAGGACACGGGTTGCTGTTACGTGAAATAACCAATTGTAGGCGAGTGCCTCTGGCCAATCAGAGGCGAGACATCCTAAGATGTCACCCGCCGGCTGAGAGGCTGGTTTAGCGTATGCGTCAAAGCTCTTACCAGTTTCATGACTTGAGTCATTTGGGGTCCTGAAAAACACGAAAACGCTGCTGGTGAGAACCGCTGCCACCTAGAGGCCAAAGTTCACATTTTCATGTAAACTAACGATAAAACTGATGCGCAGCGTTGACTCGGTGTGGAATACACAGGTCATAAAATATCACAGCACTGATAGACGCTCTGCAGACATGTTTGTCCTGACCTTTTTGTTCTGTTGGTTTTGGCTCCTGAACAGAGAGAGTGGCTCTTCTCCTACTACGACACCAGCAGCAATGTGGCTCTGAGCTTCGGGTCCAGCCAGACCGGGATGAAGATGGTCGTTGACCAAGTGGTTTGCCCAGTTCAGTCAATCGTCTCTGCTGCTGACTTCACGTCCACCATGAAGCCCTTTTGTCTCCTCTGGAGATCCTCCAGTGGACTGGTGGAAGTTTTCTTCAACAGGGCCTCCGTCAGCATCAGCTGCTCGTCCTCTACTGGTCACACCGTTCCAGCTGGTGGAGTCTTCCAGTTAGGAGGTTGGTTTCACCATCAGCTACTGGTTTTTGGTCTGAGAAGCCACTGGGTTCATGAGGCCTTACTGGTAAAGGACACGGAAGGTCAAAACAAGGTTTTTATCTGCAGAACGTTTTCCATTAAAAGAACATGATGGAGTAATGACGTTTAATACGGACTAGGTTACAAACCGGCCTCCTCCCGAGGGGTCGTCAGGGTCAGCAGCGGCTCCTCGTCCATAGGGGGCACTAGGGCTCCGCCCAGTAGTCTCACAGGAAGAAGAAAGGTGTCACTAAATATTAAAACAACATGAATAATGAACTAAATCATTTAATACAGACCATGGCTGTGTGTGATCTACATTTAACTTTAGTTTGAAAATGTTATTTAGGATAAAGACTATTGATCCTCAGGAGGAACATATGTGCGTTACCACCGCTCAGACAGGCAGGAAAGACAAGACTACAGATAACAGCAGTTCCTGTGTAACACATGCTGTCATCATCATGTGTTACACATCCTGACTGCAGTAGGAATGACTGAAGCGCTGCTTCCTGCAGCGGCCTGAAGGAGCTGCTCAGGGCTCCCGCCGACTCGTGCAGAGGGTCATGTGGGGTGTTCCTGATGGACGCCCGCTTAGCTAACATCCTCCTGCCCACCACCACCACAGACTCCATAGGGCATCCCAGTACAGAGCTAGACCTCCACACCAGTTTGCCAATCCTGCTCCTGTCCCTGTCTGCCCACTCTCGGGGCGGGGCGGGGCTTAAGAGTCCACTATCGATGTCTTTTCCCTGGATGTCACCGTGGTTGTAGGGGGTGACTTCCTCCTGAAGTCTATCACCATCTCCTTCTGTCATTAAAGCAGCCGTACTTTTTATTTTCTCTGTTCAGGTCAGCAGAGCTTCAGCGGGAACATGTACAACCTACGGCTGTGGGATCGGGCCATGACGCTGCAGGAGCTGGACGCTCTGACCTGCGACACAGCGGGAAACGTCATCGACTGGGACAACAGCAACTGGACCATCCCGTCCTCACTGGCCCAGACCAACAACACACTCAGCTGCAGTGAGTAGATGGACCCACATCCATGTGGACCTGAAGCTTCCACGGATTTCATATTAGAAACCAACAGACACACACTAACCAATGTTAGACGAGTGAACAAGCACCAGTAAACAAGCACCAGTAAACAAACACCGGTAAACAAGCACCAGTAAACAAACACCGGTAAATAAGCACCGGTAAACAAACAACGGTAAAAAAACACCAGTTAATAAACACCACATTGCTAACTTTCGAGGGCGGTATTCCAGAAATCAACACCAGGGATTTCCTGATAAATCGCTGCTTGACTAGAGCTCCCCTCCCCTCCCCTCCCCTCCCGGGTTTGCCGGCTCCATAAACGATCCTCAGATGGATTCGGTCCCGTCAATCCAAGCGAGGGTCAGGAATCACGGATCACGCGTGTCCATAGAAAGACACTGGTAATCGATGCCAGATAAATGAGAATGGAAGGAAAGGACAGAGCCTCGTTCTTCATCCAGACGGAGCGATAATTATTCATCCACGCCTACGAGGACTACAGAGATATCTGAACTAAAACAGAGAGCATCAGCTGTTTGATTAAAGCTGAAGCTGGAGCTGCTTAGTCACAACGCTCAGTTTACACGTTTCCACGGCAACGCCAGATGTCCGCTTCAGCTCCTGTTTCTCCTCTTATTTTATGTAACTTTTCATCGTTGATGTGGTTTTCATGTTCTTCTCCAGAGTCTGGATGTTTAGAGACTGGAGGACGTTGTTCCTGCTGAGCAGCTGTGAGTTTTAACGGTCACATGACCCTACCGTTAACGCTGTAAACCGTTTAGCTCTCATGTTACTCACCGTTACGTCACGTATGTCATTCAGAACAAACATCAGCGTGTTTGCCTCGTGTGACCAGAGTACATAACTAGCTTACGTGTGTTGTTAGCAGCTGTAAGCTAGTTTAAAGCTATTTAACATAAAGAGGACAGCGTGTTAATGATACGGGTCCGTCCCAGACTAAAGCTGATGTATAATTATGTTTATGTTTATTTATTTGGCAGACGCTTTTATCCAAAGCGACTTACAATTTATAACCTATAGGGCATGTTGTGACCTGCGGAGGAAACCCACGCAGAAAGGCCGCAGCCGAGTTTCGAACCTGCAACCTTCATGCTGCGAGGCAACAGTGCTAACAACTGTGCCACCATGCAGCCATACTTATTATACATAATTATACTTATTAATGATGCTGACATCAGTGGAGACAGACGCTCCTGGCTGCAAATGAAGATTAAACACAACAAAGGCGTATGTCCATTCAGAGCTCATGTTTAAACTCCACATTTATTCATAATTTAGCCGTCAAGAACAAAGCTGCAGCTACCGCTGAGGGCCAGCGGTGGCGCTAATTCACCACCTCTTAGCTGCCAGCCACCCACAAGAAAAATGTGATAGAAGAAGAAGAGAATATCATTTCTATAGCGCCTCTCAAGATAAAAATCACGAGGCGCTTCACAAAAATAAAACATGAAAAAATATCCAAAAAATTAGAAAATGGTTAAAAATGTATTTAAAATGAGCAAAAAATAGACAATTGTGATTTAAAAAATGTTAAGAAAGAGAGAGAGTGAACAGGAAGGAGGGAAATCAGTGGATCCTGAGGAAGGTGGAATAGGTGGGGAGAGCAGAATAAAGAGAGAGAGGTGAAGAAGGTCATACAAAAGTCAGCTTGAACAAGTGAGTCTTCAGCTGCTTTTTAAAGGAGACCACTGAGTCCACTGATCTCAGGCTCAGGGAGAGAGAGTTCCAGAGTCTGGGGGCCACAGCAGCAGATGATCTGTTACCTTTGACCTTCAGCCTGGTGCTGCACAACCAGTAGGCTTTGATCACTGGACCTCAGGGACCTGCTGGGGGTGTAGGGACTAAGAAGATCACCAATGTAAGATGGTGCTTGTCCATGTAAGGCCCTATAGACCAGAACCAGGATCTTGAAATGAACCCTGAAGTTGACTGGCAGCCAGTGAAGCTGGAGGAGAAGCGGGGTGATGTGGGTGTGTTTGGAGGACTTGGTCAGAAGCCAAGCACAGGCGTTCTGAACCACCTGTAGACGGTTCAGGGAGGTTCTGCTCAGAACGTGAAAAGAGAGTTACAGTAGTCTAAGCGTGAGGAGATGAAGGTGTGGATAACTGTCTCAAGTTCAGAGCGGGACAGAATGGGACTCAGCTTAGCAATGTTCCTGAGATGGAAGAAGGAAGAGCGAACAAGAGAACTGACATAAGAATCCAGGGTGAGAGCTGGGTCAAAGGTCACACCAAGATTCCTGACGGAAGGTTTGGTGTGAGAAGCAAGCTGACCAAGAGAGTCTCTGACTTTGGGAACCAGCTTGTCTGGGGCACAGATGAGGATCTCAGTCTTATCTTCATTCAGCTGAAGAAAGCTCCCAGCCATCCAGGTTTTGATAGAGTCTAAGCAGGAGTGTAACAGCTGCAGCATAGACATCTCATGGGGCTTAAAGGAGATGTACAGTTGGATGTCATCTGCATAAAGATGGTAGGAGATTCCTTTGAAGAAGCTCAGGATGTGCTGAAGAGGAAGCAGATAGAGGAGGAAGAGCAGAGGCCCCAGCACAGAACCTTGTGGGACACCATGGGTAAGGGAGGTGGTGGAGGACCTAAACTTGGAGATGGCCACAGAAAAGGAGCACTCAGAAAGATCAGAGGAGAACCACTCCAGAGCAGATCCTGTTGATGCCCAGATGCCAGTTGCCTGTAGTAGCTCATCCCCACAAGCGTGTGAATGGGTAAATGACTAATTGTGTTGTGAAGGGCCTTGGGGGGCTGTAGAACTATAAGATCGCTATATAAAAACAGGCCTTTACCATTTTAGTTCATCCTCATGGTTTCATAAATCCTCGAGATAGAACCGTCCAGGAAACGTCTCCTTGTGTACAGCCTGCTGCTCCACCTCCAGCTGCTTGTCCTGCTGCTCCTCTTCCTGCTGCTGCTCCTCTCCATGTTTTCACATGAAGGTGGGACTGATGTATCTGAAGTTTCAGACTATTTAAAGGTTTTCTGTTTGGATTTAGGAAAATAAAAGTAAAGTTCCACATGAAACCGGACTTCTGCTAGAGGGGAAACTCCAGTAAAACCTGGAATCTGGTGTTCAGGAACGTTTTAATGAAGCTGTTGGTCAACTTGCCTCACTGCTGCAGAACACCATAAACAGCTCCTGTAAACAATCAGTGTGTTTACTAACGATGCTGACTCAGCAGCTTCTGTCACCACGGCAACTCGGAGCAAGCAGGCTGTTTAATCCCAAAGCTTCAGTTCCAGATATGTCATGGGTCACCATGGTAACCAGTACCCTGCCATGTGAACTACTTCCTGCTTCAGGTTCTCGGTTGTGATGTCATCAAACAGGAAGTGAATTTAAACGAGGTTCTGAAGCCGTTTCGTTTGTTCCTTTTTTTTATTCTTTTACAGAAAGCTGGTGAAGGTTCTCAGTCATCAGGTCATGGAAGTTCGAAGGGTTCAGATGGAGGCAACTGGACTTCTGTGGTTTCCTGAAGACATTTCTCTTCTCCTCCGAGGAGCTTCGTCAGTCCTAACTGGAATGTGGGAGAGTCAGGTTTATCAACTGTAGCTGTCTGTTGTTGTTTAACGAGTCTGTTTCTGTGAGACATACGTGGCAGGAGCCTCAGAGAAACCTAGAAGAATCTTCTCCAAACACAACATCCCAGTAAACTTTAACCCAACAACACCCTCAGACAGAACCTGGTCCATCCTGAAGATGAAACACCCCAACAGAAGCTCAGTGGCGTCGTTTATGCAGTCCAGTGTAGCGAGGTCTGTCCAGATGTTTACATCGGGGAAAATAAACAACAATTACACAAGAGCATGGCACAACACAGGAGAGCCACCTCTTCAGGTCAGGACTCTGCAGTCCACCTGCACCTGAAGGACAAGGACACATTCTGGACAGAGAAGACAGATGGTGTGAGAGAGGAGTAAAAGAAGCTATCTATGTCAAACTTGAAACCCCCCACTTTAAATAGGGGCGGGGCTTAGATTTCACCTTTCCAGTATCTATAATGCAGCTTTGAATCTCATTCCTAAGCAGCTTCAGTCTAGGTCACACCTTCCCGTGTCTAACCAACACGACCACTCCCTCTCAGTAGAGGCCAACGACTCATCAGGAGGTAGAGAGGAGGGGTACTCAGAGTAGTTTCTGCTCGTTAAACAACAACAGACAGCTACAGCTTATAAGATCGACTCTCCCATGTTCCAGTTAGAATGGACGAAGCTCCTCAGATGAGAAGAGAAACGTCTTCAAGAAACCAAAGAAGTCCAGTTGCCTTCATCAGAACCCTTTAGATTCTTTTACAGAATTTCTTTTTTCATGTTTTGTTTTGTTTCTCGTCTTCTTAGTGTTTAACAATAATAATAAACCCAGCGTAACCATTTTCAGCTAAAACGTCTGTTTCCTTTCTAAAGGTATGAACCAGCTGACCCCCCCTGGAGCAGGCGCCCCAGGTAGGAAAAACAAACACACCTCTAAAAGCAAGTTCAACCTAAAATAGTTCCAGGATGCAAACCTTGTTATTGTTTGTTGTAAGTGTTATAATTATCTGTCTTCACTGATTAAAGGTTCTAACACCTTGTTTAGATTTAAAACCGTTGACGAACACAAAGCGAGGCTTTCTAAAGGATGAAACTCCAGGAGGTTTATTTTGTTTTAATCCCAACAATAAACAGGAAGTGAGGCTCTAAACTTCCTGCCAAGAGCATCAGCTTCATTCAGTGGGAACTCAGCAGGAATCAAACTCGCAAACTCTCAACAGCATTGGGCCCTGTGTCCTTTAGAGAAGCAGAGATGGCTGTCCGAGGGCAGGTTCCTGATTTAGGCACAGCTCCGAGCTCTAACTAACGGGAATATTCTACCTCTGGGAATCAAAACTTCCAGACATTGGATCTGTCGTCTCTGGACATGATGCTGAGCACAGCTGTTTGGTGGTGGTGCGTTCACAGACCCTAAAGAGAATCAGATTCTTGAGATTCACCAGCTTCTGTTTCTGCTCTGCTGCCTCAGTGTGTGTGTGAGTGTGTGTGTGTGTGTGTGTACACGTTTGTGTGTACTGGTTTTATCCAGACCTGGACCCAGACCCGGTTCCCAGACCCGGTTCTGGATGTTTGAGTGTATTTTGGGGCTGAGGATTGAATAGAAGCTGGAACATCAAGTAAACATCTGTGACATAAATCCGATCCTGCTTACTGTCTGTCTGGACAGAGCTGTGGCTCATCCCTTGAGTTAGGAGCTTCTTAACCCTCCTGTGGTCCACTGAGGTGACCCCTCCAGGACCGGGGTGGTGGAGCAGGGTGATGGTTTATCCCTTGGGGGCCAGGTGGCAGAGGTGAGGTGGTGCTCGCTCCTCAAACATCACAAGAAACATCTGGGTCTATCTGACCCTGTTGGAAAGTTGGGGGGGGGGGGGGTCATGAAGAAGTCTAGGGTCAGAGGTGAAAGACTTCAGACCTGCTGGGGTTTAGTTCTCATTTTCATCGACCATCATTGCTGCTTCATGTTGTCACATTATTCATCTGTTCATCCTCCTCTTCCTTTCTGATCTTCTTCACCTCCCCACCAGCTGCTGATTCTTCCTCCTCCACCTCCCCCACTAACACCAGCCAGGCTACTAATGCCGTCACCCACGGTAAGCACTCCTCCTCCTCATCAGAAGCTCCTCCTTCTCCACACCTTCATCCCTCCTCGTTAACTCTAGATCAGGGGTGTCAAATAATCGGCCCGCGGGCCAGATCCGGCCCGCAAGCGGGTTAAGTCCGGCCCGCGAGATGGTTGTGTAAACTTTATTTTCATACTTTACAATGTAGAGTGAAAATAAACTTATCTTTGTGAGCAAGTTTTCTCTGTAATGAGTATAAATTAAAAAAAAGCTGTGCTCAAGGCTCGCACAAGAACTTGAATCCCATCCTGAAGTTGGCCGCCACTCAGGATGTGACTTCTGATGTTGATGTGCTGGTGAAAGCTAAAAGATGTAAAGTAAAATGAGTCAAATATATTTTAAGTGCTGCATAAAACTGATCTTGCCGTGATCTGTAAGCTCTTTGAATCACTAAGGAATGTGTTTTTTTTATTTGTTGATTTTTTTTCTTCAAAATTTCAAGTACACTTCAGGTGTTGTACTTGTACTACACCGTCCTCAGGCTCCAGCCTTGTTTTATATTGATTGTATTAAAACAAAGAAAACAATCTGAAGTTTTTTTTTTTTTTTTTACCGGTCCGGCCCACTTGGGACTAGATTTCCCTCAATGTGGCCCCTGAGCTAAAATGAGTTTGACACCCCTGCTCTAGATGATTTAATCCAGACAGATCTGGTGGGTTTGAATCATCGACTCTGCAGTTTGACTCAAAAGTCTCTGAGACCTGACAGAGACAAAGAAACTGATCATTAATTGAATGAACAGGTTTATTTTTCATTGATCAGGAAGAATACGGAGGCCACGCCCATCTATTTCCGGACCACGGGTCCTGGACGAACGAAAAGATGAACACAGGTCAACGGGGCTAAAAATGCTATTTTCTAATCCGCTTGTTTTGTGCCATGAATTACACACACGATGTCGATACCAAGAACGTGCTTATTCTCAAGCGGGGGGAAACGTTATTTTAGGTTTTGCGTGAAAATAAGTCCAGGACGACAAATACGCATCACCAAAGAGACATCATCGGTCAGACACGGAGAAAACAGGGAAAATGGCTGCAAGTTCAGCAAACTTCACATCCTTCCGTCAGGAGGAAAGAACCACCATAAATCTAGTCATGTGGTGAGTAGCAGCTACGCTAGGGGGGAGGAGCTTATGTAGTGACGTCACATATGCCACGTACCGATGTCTGATGTGTGGTCATGCTAATTACGAACTTTTACAAGCTGATAAATCTCAAAGTACGTGACTGGTGTTGTCGAAACACCATCATTACTTTTCATTTAAATTGCAGTACAACATGTGATCCAGGGCATGAGGCAGAGCAGGTTAGAAAATAGCGTTCAGCCCCGATCAGCGACCCGTGAGCCGACTGGAAGAGGGAGGAGCCTTAGGCTCCCTGTAATCGGCTCGCCACTTCCTGTCTTTATTCTTTCCTAATCAAACTCCACGTTGTTTTAACACGAGCTTCGTTTGTCATCTCCAGTCTCCACCCCCTCCACTAGCATGCTCCTAACCCCGCCCACCAGCTCCGGTAAGCCTCCACCAGCAGCAACAGTCCATGTGGAAAACCGGTTCTGGTGTTAAGTCCTTAATGTGTGAAGAAAAGAGTTTAAAGGAAAAAACAGAAATGTTCTGATTTTAGGTTAGGGGTAGGGTTAGGAACAGAAAGATAATTTTCAGATGTTTTTATTTAGGAGTTGAACTCTTTTGACGCCACATGATAACCTGAACATTTCTGACTACGTTGTTGTGTTTACGACGGTTCTGTTACTAACCCCACCCCTGCCTCATTCTGCTAATCAGCTAACGCCTCCATCAGCTCCAGCGCTGCTTCATCTGCATCCATCGCTGCCTCAGCCGGCATCTCCACACCTGGTAAGGTGGCTAGGCTCCTCCCAGACCTCAGCATCACTAGGGTTCTGGTCAGGCTCTAGGATAGCATCTACTGCAGATGGAAGAGATCTTTTCTAGTTTTCTCCTTAATCCAATAAACATATTCCTTATGATTTCTGTTGTTTTCTAACATTGTTTACTTTTCCTGTAGCTGAACAGCCAATCAGCATCCCAGCAGCTGTCTCACCTGTTTCCACTAACCAATCAACTACTAACACCACCACACCTGGTAAGAGTCACTTCAACGCTGCGGCGCTTCAAACCTGCTGGACATCTAGGTTTAAACAATCACAGCCTAAACAGGAAGTAGCTTTACTTTTCTTTTCTGCTTACAGTCAGTGTAATTTATTTATTTATTTATTTATTTTATTTTGCTGCTGATGACCTTTTTCACACCGTAAACCCTGAGGACACGCCTAAACCTGGAGGCTCAAAACCAAAACTTCGTTTTTCATACCAATGTCCTGCTTCAGCGGGCAGCCGGCTTGATTCATCGCTTCTCCTTTTCTAGTCATAGTGCTCACATCCATCGTGTTTCTGTCAGAAATAAAGACGTGGATGTTTTTACTGAAACAGGAACCCTCTGTTTCATGTTTGTTCCCATCATCAGTTCCTGCTGAAAACACAAGTGTGAAAAAGGTCTGTTCCTTTGCGTGCATGACGTTCTCCCTCTCTGCTGCTCATTGTTTTCTTTAATTACCTCAGATTTCTTTTATTTGCCTTCATTTATCAAATGTTTTATTCAGAATTAAAACCATGAAAGCTGCTCTAAAAAAGTGATTAGATAATTTTAAAGCAGCAGTTGATTAAATAAAAATTTTCTCTTTATCTCTCACCACCTTTATTCTAGTTTCACTCGTCGTTTCGCCACAAACTCTTCCAGGAATGACTCCTCAGCTGTTTCTAACCACAAACCCAGCAACAACTAACATAGCCGACCCTTCTGCTCCGGCTTGTGGTAACACACTTCCTTTTTAACACCAACACTTCCTGTTCAACACCAACACTTCCTGTTTAACACCAACACTCCCAACACTTCCTGTTTAACATCAACACTTCCTGTTTAATTCCAACACTTCCTGTTTAACATCAACACTTCCTGTTTAACAACAACACTCCAAAATTTCCTGTTTAACGCCAACACTTCCTGTTTAACATCAACACTTCCTGTTTAATTCCAACACTTCCTGTTTAACATCAACACTTCCTGTTTAACAACAACACTCCAAAATTTCCTGTTTAACGCCAACACTTTCTGTTTAACACCAACACTTCCTGTTCAATTCCAACACTTCCTGTTTAACACATACACTTCCTGTTTAACACCAACACTCCAACACTTCCTGTTTAACACCAACACTCCAAAATTTCCTGTTTAATGCCAACACTTCCTGTTTAACACCAACACTTCCTGTTTAATACCAACCCTCCAACACTTCCTGTTTAATTCCAACACTTCCTGTTTAACACCAACACTTCCTGTTTAATTCCAACACTTCCTGTTTAACACATACACTTCCTGTTTAACACCAACACTCCAAAACTTCCTGTTTAACTCCAACACTTCCTGTTTAATACCAACACTTCTTGTTTGACACCAACACTTCCTGTTTAACACCAACACTCCAACACTTCCTGTTTAACTCCAACACTTCCTGTTTAATACCAACACTTCCTGTTTGACACCATCACTTCCTGTTTAACTCCAACACTTCCTGTTTAATACCAACACTTCCTGTTTAACACCAACATTTCCTGTTTAACACCAACACTTCCTGTTTAACTCCAACACTTCCTGTTTAATACCAACACTTCCTGTTTAACACCAACACTTCCTGTTTTTACTACTGACCCACTTGGTGGAACTTTCCTGATTCTGATTGGATCGTGCACGTTCTGACTGCTTTAAACGTGTAATTCCTGGTTTCGAGTCTGATATTGTTTGTGTTCTGATTGGGATTGGGATTAGGAATCACCGTCCGTAGTTCTGGCTCCTCTGATCTGTTGAATATGTTGTTATTCAGGTGTTTTGTGAGCAAATGACTTCATTAATGTGATTTTTACCTTAATTTCCTCTGCTCTGATGCGGTGCGGCAACAGAGGAGATCCACCGTCCTCCAAGCAAAGCTCCACCCTCAAGGTCCAAACACCAGGCCCATGGTCTCCGTGAGGAATTAACTGCTGCAGGAATGTTTTACTCCATAATCAGACGATTCCGGCCCGCTTCCGATTCCAGCCGCCTTGGAAGAACCATCCATGGTTGCTGTTCTATTACGCAGAACCCCAGAGACTCAAGACATCAGCCCAGACCCTTCATCCAGGCTCCTTGGCCTAGGTCTTCTCGGGAACCCTCCTATCCCAGACCTCTATCCCACCGAAACCCTAGGCCTTCCCTGGGGTTAATTTCCACCCCTCTGAGGAAACGGCGAGGAGGAAGACGCCCCGCCCCCACCAGGGCGATGCCCATTAGGCTGGCGGTTCAGGTCACCAAACCCACTGTCCCTCTATTTGGACTCACCAGAGACAGGCCTCCAGCGGGAAACGTGTTCCTCATTAACGTGTCCGCTCCTTTATCCCGACCGATCGTTGTTAACCAACCGGTCACTCCGGAGAAATTCCCAACAACCACCCCAGACTTAGGAACCCGTCCTGGATCACAGGCATCTGTTCTGCCTCAGGACCCGTCTCCATGGCAACGTAAAGGTGAGACATTACTTACGAAGGTATTTCCCCCCCCTTCATCATCATCATCAGTGCTGAGTAACAGAAAGAACAAACCTGTAGCTCCTGTAAGTGTTAGTGATGGACAACGTCCACCAGGGACCTGGACAGCTCCAGAGGACGGCTCTTCAGGGTCTGATGCCTTCAGCCATGAGCTGCCCTTGCTCCTGGAGGCCGACCTTAACCTCTTTGATTTGGAGGCCACCTCCTCCCTGGGAAAACTTCCAGTCAGTCCAGAGACAACGCTCCTCCATGTGGATCCTCCAAATGGAATTCGTTTAACCCAACAGAACCTCGAGGAACGTTCTAAAACAGAGGTTTCCACTGAAGGAGTAGATAGGCTGAGAACCTCCTATTCTGGGATCTACCTAACAGCCTTCCCGGTTTTCCAAAAGCTGATGGTGTCTTCTTCTGGCTTACAGACCTCCAGACATTCCTTGTCTTCTCGTCCTTTGAGTTTAAGTGGGAGGAGTTCAGTCACACCAACGTCCTCCTCCTACCTGTCTACCATCTCTAAGTCCAGCTCTCTCCCAGTGGCTCCGACTCCTCCTGTCTCTCTCTCAGGTCTAGCCCAAACTTTTCCCTCCTCCAACACCTTCACCTTCATCCATTCCTCTGCTGCTCCTCGGCTTTCCGAAGCCTCTCAGCCCTCCACGCTGTCGCTGCTTTCCTCCAACCTTCATAGAGATGTTGAAGCTGCAGCTGCGGATGCATCTTTGTTGTCACTTCCTGTCCTTCCTTCTGCAGGAAAGACATCCAGCCAAACTTTCTTGAACTGTTCATCTGCTTCTGAAGATGTCCGTTCTCCTGGTTCTGGGTGTGATCCTTCCATCCTCTCCCATGCCCTTCCGCCAGACGGATCTCAGATTGACCCCTCGCCCCTCCGATCGGCTGGTCAGAATTCACCGGATTTATCCGGTCTGTCTGTCGGCCAGATCTCGCTCCGGTCAAACCTCAGAGATCTAAGGGACATGCGTGTCTTTCCAGGTGTGTCCCATCTGGAGCGTGCGTCTTCCTCCACAGGTGAGGGGGTCTCTGATCCGACTCCGACCCACGGCCTCCCGCCCACAGGGTGCACCGAGACTCGGCCTGCTGCCCGTTTGACGAGGTCGATGATGGGAAATCCAACGGCTGAGAGCTCTGCTCTCCTCACCCAGACAGCAGAAACTGGGTCACAGAGCAGGTTTGGATTTGCCAGACATTCCCAGATGTTGGAACTATTGAGCACCTTGGTGTCAGAGCGCCCCGTCGGCCACAAGGAGTCATTTAATCAGCCCGTTTCTCCTCCGTCTCCTGTGTCACTCCACAGAAACTTCAAAGCTCAGCTTCCAGTTGTGACTCCTGGGCTGGCTTCTATCCCAGATTCCCCGGATCGCCAGGCTCCTCAGCCTGCACAACTTTCTGTTTCATCCTCTCTTCCTCTTCCTGCAGCTTCTTCTCTTCCTCTCATCTACCCTGCAGTCCCTCCTGCCCTCTCGTCTTTCATTTCCCCTTCCTTCCCTCCTCTTCTCCTAAGTCGGGTCTTGTTGCCGTCGGTAACTGTCAGCGTGACAGATGCTGAAGTTGTCTTTTTGTCAGCCACTCGGCCCACAACGGCCCCCCTGGACAGGGATTTCCAGACCTCACAGCTAGCTGGTGTTCAACCTGTTGCCCCGACAACAGATCCAGCTGAGCGTGGCGTCTCGCCCTCGAGCCCACCGTGGCGTTCTGGATCTGTTGAAGCTGATGACGAGGACTGCTTGGAGACAGCAGACGCTTCTGGGCTGGATTCTGTCTTTGATCCTGCTGATGTCGTTTCAAAGATCCATCCTGCAGATGAATCAGCTGTGGGATTAAACCTCTCTGTCACACGCTCGCCAACTCTAGTTCCTTTGAACACAAATTCATTTCCTGTTTCTGAGGAGTCGGCCCCGCCCCCTCTGCCCACTGCTGCTCCCGTTACTCCAACCCTCCTGCCGTCTCCTGGCCTTAATATATCCACGTCCACAGCTATCTCCAGACTCCCCATCGCTGCCCCAAATCCGGGCTTTGCGTCTGGGCTCAAAGATCTCACACTTCCCGGGAATTACCCCCCCACAGCAGGCTTCAAGAACGTCTCCAGAGCAAACATCACCTCCGTTACTGTTGTCAAAGAGTCGATGCCACTCAAAGCTACAGAAGGCCCACAAGCTTCAAAAACCTCCAAAAATATTGCCGGGATGGACGTCCCTCAGGGAAGCTCATCCGGAAATCTAACAGGAAGTTCAGATCTGAACTTGTGGAACCGCAGCATGGGCCAGAGTCCAGGAGCTTCTGTGGGCATGGACCCAGAGCAGGACCTCGCTCCGCCTGGAGCTCCAACCACCATGAGCTTCTCTCCTGATTCTCTGATCCACGGCCGCAGAGAGTCCACATTACGTCCCATTCCGGCCGGGGCTTCGGACTCGACGCCCTGCCGATGCAAACAGGGTTCTCTTTTTCTGTGTCTGTGTGGACGGTCACCGGGGGAAAGTACGTGGAACCGTAGCATCAGCCTGTAGACGTAGACAATCCAGCAAACAGTCGTCTCTGGTCCGTATTACGTCCTAAAGTCTGTCCCGGACTGTCCCTGCTGACTGGGACACCACCCGGCTGAGAGAACAGGGTCGTCCTGCCGCGGTGGTGTGTCCTCAGGTGGTGGACTTTAGGACAGAATACAAATCTTTACCTCTTCAGGTGGCTGGGCTGAGGTGTTTCTGAGGGTTTGATCTGGGTTTGATTGTCATGGTGATGGGTCCATCCTGATTCAGGACTAATCAGAAGTTTGGGATTATTTTAGTTTCCTGTTTCTGTTTATTTCTCTCCTTCTGTTCTCCTGGCCTGTTTCTGTGGACACATCAGCTTGCTGGTGGAGACATCCTGCTCTGCTGCAGGGTCTCCGTCCACAGCTGGTGAGTCCTCTCAGTAGCTCCATCTAATGATAACGATACAAGAGAGACGCCTAGTGGCCACTGTGGGGCAGAGCAGGGGGTCAACGCAGACATGTCCCTGTTGTTGTTGTTGTTGTTGTTTCCACAACAACAGGCAAAAGCGTTTTAGGTGAGTTGTATTGTAGCAGGCGGGTTCTGGTTCTGCTGGTTTTACGCATCTTTTCTTGATTTAGATGTTTCGAACAGATCAAAGATTTCCAACCTGAAGGAACGTTTCAGCGTCGTATGAATTCGGGTTAATCTGCTCGTTGTTATGAGCGAACAAATAGGTTTATATGGAAACAGTTACCTTATTGAAGCTTCCTACGGGGGACCCACCAGTAAACAAGATGGTTCATCTCAGGCGGTTGATCCTCCTAGAGCACAAATAAAATCAACTCTGATGTCAGTGGAACCAAACCTCCACAGAACGAGTGGAGAGAAGGACTCTAGAAGCTCCAGAAGCTGCTTTTCAAGCTACGGGTCAGAAAACGTCACCAAACCAAGTTCCAGCTTCAGGGTCAGGGACCTGGGCACACCTGTCTCAGAAGGGAACCCCCCAGCCAATCAGAAGCTGTTCAGTCCAAACCAGTCACCAGACCTAAATGTTTGGCCTTTTCTAACCCGATGAGCAGTTCTGTGTTCTGCGTTGGGACCGGGTTAGCTGAGCTAGGAAGTTAATGACACGTAAATGTAGTCCTCCTCCTGCAGAGTGTGTTAGAGGGTCAGGGTTAGGGTCAGGAGGAGGAAGGTGTCAGAAGCCCCTTCCTCTGAGGTAGGATCTCTGCCGGCTGAGCTGCGTTCACCTCCTGCTGTGTGGAACAGAATGAATTCACTCCAACGAGGCTGAAGTGTGATTTCTCCTTTCTGTCGTTTCTCCTTCCTCCACAGACGGGCTGTTCTTTGGGGTTTTCATGTTGGTGAGGTCACCGCTGAGTCAGCAGGAGGTGGAGCGGGCCGTGGCTCTGGGGGTAAGACGGGTCGTGTGGTGTCTTCCCTGCTAAAGAAAGCACTCATTCACCGCCAATTTAAATCCAGAAAATACAAAGATACGCTCGTTAAAAGCAGCAATATGAGCACCAGGGGGCGCTCCAGAGCGCTTCTGATCTGAGTTTACAGGTTTAAACCGTGTGTATGTCGATGGTTCAAACCAACTTTCACAAATCTAAACTCAATGTTTATGAATACTGAACAGCTGAAGTGGACTGTAGTTGCTGGCCCACGCCAGCAGGTGGCTCTCCTTCCTCAGCCACCGGTCACACTGGAGGTGTTAGAAAAGTAGGAAGTGGATATCATTCACGTCAAAATAAAAGCCTGTTTGCGCTGTGACACAATAAGTCTGTCTGTTCTGTTCCTGTAGCTGAATGAAAGTCTCCGCGGCTGGAGTTTTTCTGTAGAGGACTTCAGGTAACCCCCCACCCGGCTGTAACTGGATCACACCTTTTTGTTTTGGGCCTTTGATGTGAAAACATCACATGCTCAGACACAGCTATTTATCATTTTCATTGTTGTTTTTTCTCCTCAGGGTTTATTCTGGCAAGCCGACAGGAAACGCGACCAGGTCAGACGCCCCAGCCGGTTTAATCTCAGAGTTTCTTGGTTTTCTTTTTAAATCTGATTTTTGCTTCTTGTTTTCTTCTCTTTCCAGTTTCAGCTGCCAGTTCCTGCTGCTGATCACCAACGAGAGCCTGGATGGAGCCTTCATCCTGGATCAGCTGTCCACCCGGATGCAGCTGGTCGGTGCCGGCCCGCAGGTCCAAAGCAGCGGCCTTTCCGTCCACTTAGCAGGTCAGACATCTGATCTGGTGCCTGTTCGCTTTAAAACACTTTGTTGTGTCCTGAACGGACTCGGGTCACCAGAACCTCTGGGTTCTACATGAGCTGTGGTCTGTGGTGTGTAACAGGAAACTGTAAGGAGGAGAACGCTCTGGACTACTTGTGGCCGGAGACCAGACCCAGAACCACCCAGTACCTGCCCTGCTTCCCCAACAAGGACCAGAGAGCCTCCAGAAGCTGGTAAACACAACGACACACCCACTAGAAACCCAAACTCCGAATGAGTGTCAGTTCTGGACCATTCTTGTCCTCCAGCCTGATTAAGCTAGAGGACTACAGCTCCGTCTGGTCCCCCGCCGACTTAACCAACTGCACAGTTACAGCAGGTGAGCTCACATTCACCAGGAGGTTATTTTTAGATTGTCTGAGACTAAACCAGGAAGTCAGACGAGCCAAACTGCTGTTCCTGTTGTTTTAGAAAACGCCGCCATCGTGGCGGAGCAGCTCATTAACTTCACCAACAGCAACCTGACCAAAGAGAAGGTGAGAGAAAGAAACCTGGAGACAGAGCAGCGGTGAAGAGCGGGACTTACCTCCTCTTCATCCTTTTTCAGGTGTCTCAAGCGGTGACCAAGGTGCGGGAACTGGTGAGTTTGGAAACGATCGACACGGCAATGGCCAAAACCGTTGTCCACATCATCTCCAACGTCATGTCCAACGTCAACGTCACCTCGGAGACGCCTCTGGTGAACAAGAGGTATGCTCCACCTCCTCCTCTGAAACCTGAGGCCTTCTGATCTTCAGATCTGATGTTAGCCATAACATTATGACCACTAACACTGTTGTAGAGTCCAACATCTGACATTATTTTGGACCAGAGCCTGAATGAGGAAGCTTGTCCCGTCTTGTTCCTCAGGGCGCTGAAGGCTGTGGAGAGGTTGGCTCAGAAAGTCACATTTGAAGGTCCGTCCATCAACATCACCTCCAAACATCTGGCTTTGGGAATCCTGGCTCTCAACACTTCGAATTTCAATGGAACGTCCTTCAGCGCCTTCCTCCCTCCAAACTCCAGCGCCCCTCAGGTAACGGACCACTCGGGATGGAGGAGGAGCTTCACGACCAACATTCCTCCTAAAGTTACTTTTACTTCTCCACTGTTGTTCTCTCCATCCTTCCTGACTGTCTCCTCTTTGTTCTTTCTCCTCGCCCGCTTCTTCCTCTTTAGATTGGCTTCGAGCTAACGGCTAACGCATTAGCTCAAGTGACGCTTCCCCCGTCTCTGCTGTCCGGAGTCGTTATGAGCGAAATCGAGAGGTCCTCCCTGTCCAGGATCAACTTCAGGTTCTTCAGCAGCACAAACCTCTTTGAGGTGAGGTCTGGTAAGCCAGGTGTTCTTCTGGTAAGCCAGGTGGGGCGACAGTGGCACAGGAGTAAAGAGCTCGCCCCGTAATGGGAAGGTTGCAGGTTCAAGCCCCGCTCAGTCTGTCGCTGCCGTTGTGTCCTTGGGCAAGACGGTCAGAGGTACCTGTGCTCAGCAGCCTCGCCTCTTCAGAGCGCCCCAGGGCAGCTGTGGCTACATTGTAGCTCATCATCACCACGGTGTAGGGCTGGGCATCGTTTTATTTTGAACGATTCCTATTCCGATTCCTTGTTTTGATTCCGGTTCTTATCGATTCTCGATTCCGATTCTTTGAAGACATGACATGTTTTACACGAGCCAGCTAACCACAGGTCCTACTTGATGAAATAATCTTAACTTCAACACGAATTTTAATTCTATGAGCAACAACATCACCTTCATTTAGACACAAACATGTTTTGGAGACAAAAAAAAAAAGACTTGCAGCACAACCAGTGTGTTTGTTTCTGACCACAACCAAAGTCTGGAAGAAGCCTCTGGGATGAGAGGCTAAATGTCTCCAACACATCCAGAAATGTCCAGCTGTTTTCAGCTAAAACTCTCAGGATGATCATGTCCAGGATGACTGAGAACTACACCTCCATGCTGCAGCAGCATTCAGTCAGAACAGGAAGTGAAACTTAAACGTAGCTGCTGTCAGTAACAAGCTAACAGATTTAAACATTAAAACTCTCAACAGAAATAGATCAGAAAGGAAATTAAAATGTTTACAGCTTTGTGTGTGATTTATTATTATTATTATTATTATTATTTATTGTGACAGAAGCTGGTGTGGTCCACCACAGAGAAGCTTCTCTAGCATGATGACTTTAATTATTCTACAGGTTGTTGTTAAGCCTGCTGACGCTCTGTTTGTGTTTTTATTTCTGCAGTGAGACAAACTCACCTCACACCGTCCAGAGTTTGTTCTTTAAAGCTTCTATTAAATCCACCGTGTTGACGTATTTAACAAGTTTCCTCTACGCTGCAGGAGTTAAAGTTTACATTACGGAGTAAAAGGTTGCAGACGCGGTTGTTTATATTGGGGGGGGGGGGGGGGGGGGGACTCGTGCTGCACACAGACAGCTGGTGTGATCAGCTCTGAAAAGCGTTGATCACAATTTGCAGATCCCGTTTATTTTTCACTGAGATCAGCCGCGGACTCCTCTTCCGTCAGCATTCTAGGAATTGAAATAAAAAACTTTGAACGTTTCCGGAAAAAATCAACAGCTGGAACCGGTTCCAATCAATGCTCGATGCCCAACCCTACCAAGGTGTGAATGTGTTTGTGAATGGATGAATGACTGATTGTGTTGTAAAGTGCCTTGGGGGGGTTCTAGGACTCTAGAAGGCGCTATATCAAATACAGGCCTTTTACCATTCACCTATTATGTACCAGGTGTTCTACTGGTGATCCAGGTGTTTACTGGTGATCCAGGTGTTTACTGGTGATCCAGGTGTTTACTGGTGATCCAGGTGTTTACTGGTGATCCAGGTGTTTACTGGTGATCCAGGTGTTCTACTGGTGATCCAGGTGTTCTACTGGTAAACCAGGTATTCTACTGGTGATCCAGGTATTCTACTGGTAAACCAGGTATTCTACTGGTGATCCAGGTATTCTACTGGTGATCCAGGTGTTTACTGGTGATCCAGGTGTTCTACTGGTGATCCAGGTGTTCTACTGGTAAACCAGGTATTCTACTGGTGATCCAGGTATTCTACTGGTGATCCAGGTGTTTACTGGTGATCCAGGTGTTTACTGGTGATCCAGGTGTTTACTGGTGATCCAGGTGTTCTACTGGTGATCCAGGTGTTTACTGGTGATCCAGGTGTTCTACTGGTGATCCAGGTGTTTACTGGTGATCCAGGTGTTCTACTGGTGATCCAGGTGTTCTACTAGTGATCCAGGTGTTCTACTAGTGATCCAGGTGTTCTGTTAGTGATCCAGGTGTTCTGTTAGTGATCCAGGTGTTCTACTAGTGATCCAGGTGTTCTGTTAGTGATCCAGGTGTTCTGTTAGTGATCCAGGTGTTCTGTTAGTGAACCAGCTTTTTTTTTACTAGTGATCCAGGTGTTCTACTAGTGATCCAGGTGTTCTACTAGTGATCCAGGTGTTCTGTTAGTGATCCAGGTGTTCTGTTAGTGATCCAGGTGTTCTACTAGTGATCCAGGTGTTCTGTTAGTGATCCAGGTGTTCTGTTAGTGATCCAGGTGTTCTGTTAGTGAACCAGCTTTTTTTTTACTAGTGATCCAGGTGTTCTGTTAGTGAACCAGCTTTTTTTTACTAGTGATCCAGGTGTTCTGTTAGTGAACCAGCTTTTTTTTACTAGTGATCCAGGTGTTCTGTGGTTAACCAAGTGTTCTACTGATGGTTGTGTTTTCCAGAAAAGGCAGAAAGATTCGTTCCTGAACAGCTACGTGGTAGCAAGCAGTGTTGGGAACTTTTCTATTAACGACCTGAGAGATCCTGTGAAGATTGAGATTTCTCACCTGACTAAACAGGTGGGTTCTGTTTCTGTTCAACTTAACTTTTACTCAGTTTAGAAATGTCTTTGTTGACTGTTTAATGGGGTGAACAGAATGAAGTTTGAAATACATTTATTTATTTTATTTATTTTACAGTTTTCTGTTTATGAGACACTTCCTGTCAGTCCCTTCTGCTTATAGGAGAAGATTCTTCAGATTAAATCCTGATATTCCTGTATGATAGATAATCTGACCTGAGAGCTGAAAAAAGCTGGATTGTTGCTCTGAAACACAGAAAAATATCTTTTATTACAGATTAAATGTGATTAAATGCAACAAAACAGCTGTGACTTTGATTTGACCAAAGTTAATAGATATTTTATTAACTTTAAAACGTTCTGTTTATTAGTTAAATTATAAGAAATATTTTAAATTAGGTTTTTAAACTAATCTCATGCTTATTATCCGTAAATAAAAGTATAAGTATGAAAAGTAAATGACACTCGTGAATAAATATTTATGAATTAATGTCTAATTCTTAGTTTAATGTGATTTAAATTTAACTGACAGGTGTCATCGGGTAGAAAGTGTGTGTTCTGGGACTTCAGCTTGAACGGTGAGTCTAATCTCTGAGAGTTTAAGCTACTCTGCTCTGATTGATCTGATTTTATGAAACAATAAAGCCTCGGAAATAAAAACAGGTATTTATTTCATTCTGGAGGAGGTGAAGGTAAATGTTTTGATTTGGGTCAGCCTGATGACGTGAGGTCATGTGTCCATGTGGCCACCAGGGGGCAACGGAAGCTGGAACGAGCGCGGCTGCAGGGTGGCGGAAGGAACGAGCAGCAAAACTGTCTGTCTTTGTGACCACCTGACTCACTTTGGCATCCTGATGGTGAGGCGTGTGTGTGTGTGTGTGTGTGTGTGTGTGTGTGTGTGTGTGTGTGTGTGTGTGTGTGTGTGTGTGTGTGTGTGTGTGTGTGTGTGTGTGTGTGTGTGTGTGTTATTTGTTTTCCATTCTGACACACATTTATAATATTATTTATTATTATTTACTTCTGTGTCTATTGTTTGTTTTTTTACAATAAAAGGAAATAATAAACTTACATTTATTAAAAAACTTCCAGCCTGAATATGAAATAATCCTGTGAGATTAGCCGATCCTCACGACCTGTGACCCTCCATCAGCTGTTTTTAATCTCTTCTTATTGTTAAAAAGTATTTTTTCTGAACTTGAGCTGATTTCCTTTGTTCTTCTCTCTCTTCACGTGGTGGTAAATGTTTGTTTCTGATGTTGACGTCGTTAATAATTTGATTTTTGAAGCGTGATCTGTTTTTGCTCTCAGATTAAAGTGAAACAAAGATTATTTCTACCTTTTGGTTTTTCTAAAACTGAATAAAATGTTTATCAGAAAAAAAGAATCATTTCAGTTCATCAGGTGTTTTTATATTGTTCTGCTTGTTTTCCTGTCAGACGTTCTCCTAACATCTAACCTAATCCTAATCTCTGTTATCTGCAGGACGTTTCTCAGGCCTCCTCCAGAATTGACTCGGAGAACAAGAAGGTTCTCACCTTCCTGTCCTACATCGGCTGTGGCGTCTCGGCCGTCTGCTCCGCCGCCACGCTGCTCACCTACGTTGCCTTCGAGTGAGTTCACGTCCAATCAGCATCATCCAACCAAACGTTCTAGTCCATAATCATGATGCAGCAGCTAGCATTCACTCATACCACCTTAAGATGTTGAGATGTTTCTTTAGGAGAGTGTGTTCACCTGCTCAGTGACATCATCGCCAGCTGAGACTTGGTGGAGGGGATTAGAGCAGAACCTGGACCTGAAGCTGTCGTTTGTCTCCATGCAGACAGCTACGGCGGGACTACCCGTCCAAGATCCTGATGAACCTCAGCACGTCGCTGCTGTCCCTGAACATGGTGTTCCTGCTGGACGGATGGCTGGCCAGCCTGGACAACACCCAGGTGTGTTTGTCCGTGGCCGTGCTCCTGCACTACTTCCTGCTGACCTCCTTCACCTGGATGGGTCTGGAATCTGTCCACATGTACATCGCCCTGGTCAAGGTCTTCAACACCTACATACGCAGATACATCCTGAAGTTCTGCATCATCGGATGGGGTGAGCTCAATTATCCCTACCTCATGGGTAAAGGGTCAGAGGTCACCAGGAGGTCATGACCTTTATCCAGAGAGGAGGACACAGGAGCTCTGATGTTGTTTTGGTTGCAGGTCTTCCTGCAGTTCTGGTTGGGATCATCGTCACGGTGAATAAAAACTTCTACGGAGTTCTGAGGGACGGCGGAGACCCGTCAGCAAAAATGTGAGTGACCTCTGGGGGAGGGGCTGCAGGATCCTCATTGTTCAGATATCACAGGGTGTGTGTGTGTTTGTGTGTGTGTGTGTGTGTGTCCTCAGATGCTGGATCAGAGATGCGAGTGTGTTCTACTCCACCTGTGTCGGCTACTTCTGCCTGGTCTTCCTGCTCAACGTGGCGATGTTCTTCGTGGTGATGACGCAGATCTGCGGCCGGAACGGAAAACGCAGCAACCGCACGCTGCGGGAAGAGGTGTGTTCATTACTCCTGGGTTTAAGGGTTAGGGTTAATCAGGACCAGGATGGGTTTTAAACCTGCAGACAGCTGGAAGTTCTGACCCCGTGTCCCGTTGTGATCCAGGTCCTCAGAAACCTGCGGAGCGTCGTGAGCCTAACCTTCCTGCTCGGGATGACGTGGGGCTTCGCTCTGTTTGCTTGGGGACCTGTCTACCTGGCCTTCACCTACCTGTTCACCATCTTCAACTCTCTTCAAGGTGCAGTCACCCCACCCCCCATGTGTGCTGATCTTCACAGATCAGACCGATGACGCAGAGCTCTGGCCGATTCTGATGAGGAGCTGATTTCTTTGGCCTAACAGCCGTGAAGTCTGAATGAGACCAAACTCCTCTACTATTGGCTCAGGGAGCTGCCAATCAAAAGTTAAGGATTTCTTCATTTAGAAACGAGGTTTCCATGGAAACCAGATTAGGGAAGTTTAGGTCTGAAACCGACTCGCTGGTTGCATCAGAACTTTGTTCCCTTGTTGACCCACTTCCTGTTCCTCTACAGCAGGGTTATTCAGTTCTGGGCCTGGAGGTCCGGTATCCAGCACATTCTGGTTTTAACTCCGCTTCTGCGCACCTGACTTCAATCAGCAGGTGATTAACTGGCGTCTGCAGAGCCTGATGAGCTGCTGAACAGGTGACTCGACCCCTGAGTCTGGTGTGTTGGAGCAGAGAAACCACTAAAACGTGCTGGGTACCAGCGGTGTTAGTCTGGCAGAGGGCGGACTGGTTCTAATCCAGCTGAAGCTCACAGACACGGCAGTAGCAATGTGATGACATCCTGCATGTAATCGGGTCAGCCCAACTGAAGCGGTGGGACGCTTTCACCCCGGAAGCGGTCTTCTGAGAGGTCCGTCGTCTCTAAGCAACACCATAAAGCAGGACTGTAAACAAGCTGTGCTGCAGCGCTGTTGTTCCTTCAGCCATTGTGCATTTCCTGCTTCACTCCCGCCAGCCTCCGAGGGTGTTTCTCAATGCCAAGGAACCTCGCCTTGATGTGTTGGCCCCGCCCCGGTTGCCCAGAAGACACGTCATCATGTTCATGTTCTACAGAGGCGTGTGTGCTCCGTTTGTTAGCCGTTTAGCTAGCTGAGCAAACATGGGAGGTGCCTTGCAGCCTAGCCCTGCTCAAACATTTCCCAGAATGCTCCGCGGTATTTTCAACGGAGCGGCGAATCAGAAGCTGGCAGCTACAAATTTCAAGTTTAAAATTAAGTCAGCTGAACATCGCCATCGGGCTGATGTCTGACGTGTTTTTATGTCCAGAGCAGTTATCTGTGGGAAACCCATGAAGATAAATAAGTTACAGCACGATCATCTTACTGTTCTAACACTCATTTTCACTGGGAAACAGCATAATATCATGTTCTAATGACGTACACATGTGTAATATTCAGTCTTTAATTGTGCTACACAGCTGTGATAAACATCTGTCTATGAATGTGTGAATGATGCAGTTAGAGCATGAAACTGTTAATGTGGCGTCGCACTAACTTTATGGGAGGCTCTAAGCTAACAATGACTTTAGCACCAGTTACATGAACAAGAGAGCTTCCATTTAGCAGCGCTAGCTTTGGACGACGTGCCTGTCGGGCTAACGGGCTATCGCAGCATCATGGTCCAGCCTCCTCTTCTCCTGTGCTGCACAAGCCGAACTCCTGGGGTGAGGTAGTTTCAGGGAATAGCCGTGGTACCACAACTGAGCTAAGGTGGCTAGCACCTAGCTCCAGTCTTTAGTCCTGAAGTGTCCTTTTAATTAACAAAGTTGAGCCCCCGCTCACGCCTGATCTCCCTGTGACAGTTTAGTCTCGTATCGATGTTGATGAAGGGAAACGGGGTGGAGCTTCTCCAGAGCACAACAATAAAGTCACGGATGCATCTCTAGTTAAAACCCAGGAAGTTTGAAAAGGCCGTTAGCCCTGCTCTCTAACATGGAGGCGGGGCTTAGGCTCAGTTCCCTCATCTGAGCGTTTCTGCTCCTGAGACTCACTTGTGCAGGCGGCAGCAGCTCAGGACCAATCTGAGATGTGTCTTTGTCCTCAGGTCTCTTCATCTTCATCTTCCACTGCGCTCTGAAGGAGAACGTCCAGAAGCAATGGAGACGGTCCCTCTGCTGTGGCCCCTACAGGCTGTCCGACAACTCAGGTACCTGTCCCTCCGTCCTTCTGTACCTACAGTCGTCTGGGTCCTCTGAGGTGTCCCTCTGTCTCCAGTACCCCCTCCCTCTGTCCTCCGTCTCCAGTGCCCCCCCCCCCCCCCCCCCCCCCCCCCCCCGAGGTCTCCCTCTGTCCTCCTTCCCGCCCCTCGGCGCTGCAGGACAAACACAGATTCTCTTTATTAAAGTCTAAATCGCTTTGGCTCTGCAGCTAATAAAAGGAGATAAAGGTCATCGTCTCTGGGAGCAGGAAGTTCTCCAGGTGCATCTGAGGATGTTCTGATCCGTTTGGGCCCGTTATTCATGACTTCATCCTGAAAGCATCCAGATGAAGTCTGTGTGTGACCAACGCCCCAGAAAGGAACACTTCTTCCTTAAGTCCCGAGTCCGTCTCCGACATGCTGAACGGTTCTGCTGACCCGCGTTCATCCGTCACCATCAGGAACCGACCGTTTAACAGAAAAGATCAAAAATGAGCAGAAAGAGAGGAGCGGCTTTGGATCTAAACGTCATTTAATTTTTAAAAATCCTTCTGCTCCTTCATTTATTCTTAATTTTCGCCTTTAAATAGAAAAAATAAAGTCATGCTTATGTTGTCAAACCACCAAACAACTGACAGAGAAGAAAAAGCTGGGGAGATTAAATAAAAGCATACAGCGACTCAGAGGGAGTAAAACCTGAACTGGATTAGAGATGAAAATCAGATTAAATCAGTCTGAGGCTCTGGAAACGCAGCTGTTCTGATTAAAGTTCTACTGCCAGAAATAAAAGTCAATGAAATTTGATTAGATTTTTATTGAAGGGTTTTAATCAGAAACAGGAGCTGCTGGGCCTGGTTCCATTTCTGTCAGCTGTTCGGGAACCAGTGTGGGCCGGGCCCTGAAAGATACTTCCAGGATACAAGCTGATGGAGGTAGTTTAGTGTGGATGTGGAGCTGAAAACGGGCCGAGATACTGAAGCAGGAAGCTGTCAACGAACTGTCTGAAAAAATGTTGTTTAACCTGGCAGAAAGCTCCACCCACCCCAGCTAAAAGCCCCACCCACCCGGCAGAAAGCCCCGCCCGCCCCAGCTAAAAGCACCACCCACCTGGCAGAAAGCTCCACCCACTCACCTGGCAGAAAGCCCCGCCCACCCCAGCTAAAAGCCCCACCCACCTGGCAGAAAGCCCCACCCACCCTCAACTAAAAGCCCCACCCATCTGGCTGAAAGCCCCCCCCCCCCCCCGAAAGCCCCGCCCACTCCAACTAAAAGCCCCACCCACCCTACTGAAAGCTCCACCCACTTACCTGGCAGAAAGCCCCGTCCACCCCAACTAAAATCCCCACCCACCCTATTGAAAGCTCCACCCACTCACCTGGCAGAAAGCCCCGCCCTCACACCTAGCTGACGGCTTTGGGGTTCTCTTTTTTTTATTGTTGTATAATTAATATGATATAGAAATTTTCCAAATAAAATGCCATGCATACAAATAATCAGAATCAGAATCAGAATGAATTTTATTGCCAGCGCTCCAGCGCTCCAGAGCATAGGAACTTCACTCCACAGTACAGCCTGACCAAGATTACACACACACATATAGACAGGACAGATACAGGCAGACCACGAGAGCAGCCATGACGGCGCTCAAAATAAGAAAATTCTTGTAACTATATTTTTTGCTCCAGGGTGGCCCAGTACCAGATCCATTGTTAAGAGACTGGTACCGGTCCTCTGCTTGTGGGTTAGAACCACTGCTTTACAGATCTAGGGTTGTTTTATCGCTGCGATCTTAAATTCTGACAGGAAGTGTGATTTATAAATGACTCAGTTAAGGTTTTATGGTTCTGGATCTGACCCGGTGGTTGACTGTTGAGTTGTTCTGTCCCACAGACTGGAGTAAGACAGCCACCAACAACACCAAGAAGGTGAGCTCAGACAACCTGGCCCTGTCCTCCAGCTCCTTCGGGTCCGGTACCTTCAACTGGACAGCCAAGGCTAAAGCTACGCTAACGCCGTTCTCCAAACGCCACAAGAACAGCGGTGAGAACCCAAACTTGTGTGTCCACCAGCATCCCACAGATCTTCTGTCCTCCAGGGTTAAATGTTCTGGTGTGTTCTGTTTGGCGTAGAAAAGGCCAGCCGCTAACTGGAGGACCTGCCGAGGTAAAACCAGAACCTGCTACTGGTGCCGTGTGGTTTGCTGCTGTTTCCCAAAATGTCCTGCAGGAAAACTGGCATTTTGGGAAACCAGCTGTGTGCTGTGATGTCACTTCCTGTTTCACCTGAGACGCTCTGAGCTGTTTCCGGGTTGAGTTCCAGCTGTTGGAGGCCACAACAGCGGCCCATGAGGGACAATTTAAGAAATGAATTTTAAACATTTGACTTCTAAAAACCGTTTCAGAAACGGAGTTTCAGTTGGACACGATGACGTTTTCAGCAGGAACCACAGCCATTTGGTCCCCAGAGATGAAATCAGGAGCTTTAAATATTTTCCTGGTTTTGGGATGTTTGGATTAATTCCTATTTTGCGGATCTGTGAACTTGGAATTTCCCATTATCCAGATTGGGAATACGTGATTAAGATGGATGGAAGCGCGTTCCCAGGACAGATCGGCTCAGAAACGGATCCAAATTCCAAAATAAACTCTGAACATTTCAGTTGGATGATTTGATACTGCTTCCTGTTTGAGATACTTTCAAAGTAAAAGCAGACTTGCTTTACAATAAACTGTGAGGCCCTTTAGTTATTTTAGCTTTTTATAGTTTATTTCTGTAAATGTTCCTCCTAAACCGCAGAAAGGTTTCCTTTTTGTAAACGTTAACTTCAGAAGGTTTAGCTGCAGATACTTTTTATCTGGTGAGACTTTAAAATTCTGACTTTTTCTTTGAAAATGTGACTTTTCCCTTTAAACACAACATGCATGTGTAAACTCCTCCCACTCAGAGAGTCCCAGGATGCAGGAACAAGTGCTCCTCTGCATCCCTGCTAACACGTGTGGTGTGTTTTTAATAAGACGGGTCAGAACCTGGTTCACTTGTTCCACTTAATATCAGATGTTGAAGAATCGTTTGGTACGAACAGTTCTGGAGAAACCTGTTGTGATGTCATCAAACATCTGCTGCAGAACCGTCAGAACCTGGTGCTGCCCGACCCAGATCACGGCCGAGTTTAGAAACAATTTGGGTTTTATTTCTGGATCACCAGAACAGGTCCCAGTGGTCCAGTTGGTTCTGACCTGGAAAGACAAACGGAACAAAAGTTTCTGTGTTTGTTTCCATCAATGAGTCACATGATTAAAGATGGCGGCTGAACTGGGCTCCTGATGTCAGGATAAATAAGATTCCGGATGCTCGGAGGCCGGACGGGTCAGAACCAAGCCAGTGGCGTCCTTTGATGCGACAGAACCCATGGGAGGGGTCATCAGCCTCCGGCTTCTAAACAGTTATTTTTATTTATTTAAACTTTTTCGAGTTCTAAAAGTTCTCCAGCTGGATTTTCTGTGTTTTGTTTGGAAACTAAAGAACCCGATCCAGCTGCTCTGGGAGTCCAGAACCTGGGCGGTACTCAAACCCCTTCAGTGGGACCCGAGTCCCAGGCTGTGAACTGGGTCGGACTCGTTCGTTCGGAACATTCCTCTGAAATCTGAGCTTGCTGTGCCTGAACTCCTCAAACATGAAACCTGGTGGAACGGAACTCAAACGTCCTCCGACGTTCCTCTGCTGACACCCGGAGTGAGGGATTTAATTATCCGAGCTGTTGGTTCTGAACGGTACCAGACAGCTGGGTCCTGGTGTGTTGACTGATGGTCCGGTGTAGTCACCGAGGCCCGGTTCCAGATGGACCGGAGCGGATCCAGCTGGGAGATTACACTCATAAACCGCTGGACAGGTTTGGACCAAACACCTGATTCTGCTCCAGGCAGAGAAGCATTCCGACCTCCGTCTGTCATCTTACTGGCTCCAGTCGGATTCAAACGACTCCAGAGAACTTCCAGATCTTCAGCGGGACGAGTGAGCCTCCTGCCTCCAGCCAGCATTCCTGTTCAGGGATTCAGTGGTGTTCCCAAGTGGGCAGGGCCCGCCTTTCCAGACAGTCTGACACGCTGAATGTTTTTAACCGGTCTGATCACAAGAGCAGGAAGGCGGAGCTTCACTCATGCATGTTTTTTTCTTCATAATGGGAAAAACGTCTGAAACAAGAAGCTGAAGCGAGTTTTCATCTATTTGGTGACTCCGCCCCCTTTGACTCAGCGTTTGGTTGATCCTAAAACCTGATGAATCGGGTCTCTTAAGTTCTGATGAAGTCCAGCCGGAAGCTAATATCAGGAACGACAGAAGGCTGGGATGGGGTTTCAGGCGTAGGTAATATTCCTGATGGAACCAGGGACCGGGCAGGAGGACGGGATGTGCTCGAACAGATCCTGATTGTTTTGGACTCTTTACTCTATGAGTTTCCAGACGTGGGAAGGCAGCTGGTTCCGGTCCACTTCCATGTGATCAACATAAATTTAGAGTTCAGACTGAAGTCTTTAACAAAGTACTGCCACAAGCCGGAACCTGGATAATGATTTCCAACAGGAACGACGAACCTTCTCCCAGTAACGTGTTGAAGTTGGCTCCAGGTCTCCCGTTCCTCCGCTCGTCACACCAGACTTCCATATTCATGGAAAACCTATGAGAATTTGGAGTTCTTCCTGAAAGATTCAACTATCGACATGTTTAATGTTGGATGAAGCATTTCTGTCTGTTTCCATCCTTTCAGAGTGAGGCCAAAATATTCCGCTTTTGAGTGCTTCCATGTTGTGTTATTGGATCCTGAAGGGAAATTCCGACAGGAACCCTAAAAGAACATGTTTAAACACAACAACGCAGAACCTTTAGAACAATCAGAGAGGAAAGCCGAGGTAGCAGAACGGGATAAGGAACTAGAGAAATCTCTGACCCCAGCATATGGAATCCCAAGGTTTTCCCAGGCCTGCCTGTAGATCAAATCCCTCCAGCGCGTCCTGGATCACTGCTCCTTCTGGAGAGACGAACATCTTCTCCTCATCTCCAAACTCAGTTCAGCAGCCAGGAGAGCGGAGCGAGGCGTGGCTAGTAAGCTAACTGCTCCATAACGAAGGCAGCAGAAGAGTCAGGTTGCTGTTAGCCAATCAGAACTCCCGGTTCTGAAGGAGGTTTCAGGTCTTTTCTTCAGGTGGACATTAGATCAAGTTTAATAAACAACGTTGGGAACTCTGTAGGATTTATATAAATCCCGTTACTTCCTTGGAACATTCCAGATGTTTGCAGAACTCCTCAGAGATTCTTCTGCTGAAGGTTTAACGTCACGATAACCGGTTCTCATAAATCTTGGAGGTGATCGTTCTCCAAACTGTCGGTCCGAATCAGATTCTGATCTCCTGATCAAATGGAAAATAAAACTCAAGGAACCCTTCAGGTTCTGACACGGAACAGCCCTTCTTCATTTCATCTCCTGGTTTCTGAGCTGAAATCTTAAAACATCAAACCAGAGCAGGGCGGAGCTTTCCAGGGAGTAGAAAAATATTCCCACTACAGCGAGCCGAGGGATAAAGGGGAGGAGTTAACCCTCAGGTGAGTGAAAGGGTGGAGATGTTTACGTTTGTCCAGCTGACGTTTATTTAAAGTTGTTTGGAGAGAAAGAATGTAAGCGTGATCTTTGTTCTTTCCTGTTGATTGTTGGTCTTTGGGTGTGTGTGTGTGTGTGTGTGTGTGTGTGTGTGTGTGTGTGTGTGTGTGTGTGTGTGTGTGTGTGTATTTGCGTGTGTGTGTGTTTGTGTGTATTTGCGTGTGTGTGTGTGTGTGTGTGTGTGCGCCCATGTGTGTGTGTGTTTGCGTGTATGTGTGTGTGTGTGTGTCTGCTCACGTGTGTGTGTGTGGACTCAAACAACAAACTAACTTTTGTTCAAAACTGGAAGACTGGTCTTAGCTCCTAGCTGTTAGCTTGTCGATCAGATCAAAACTAACCTCTGTTTCTCCAAACTGAGGTTGTTCAGGCCATCGACGTTTAAGGATCCGACCTGCTTGTGCTTCTGGGTTTAAAGGTGACCTTTGACCCTAGAAAACGTTTCATTCTGTTTCCTCCTGAAGGTCTTTAGCTCCGCCCATCCAGACATGATATCATTTCCTGTTGGATAAATGCGTATTTCTGCTCATCTAAACGCAAATTTTGTTTGTTTTCTGTGACTTTTCTGTTTTATTTGGGACTAATTGAAAACTTTCTTATTTTTAGTAAATTTTCATCTTAATTAAATCTGTAAAACATGTAAAACTTCATTTAAACTTTTAAAAATGTCGTGGTTGACTTGCTGAAGGAGGTCAGCTGACCTGAGCACCAACTTCCTGTTTCTCTCCCTGCAGGAAAATGTTTCTCCGGTCAGAGCGGACTCGTCTGCACCTCCTCCTCCTCTTCCTCAGATGCTGAGCCTAACTCCTCCTCTTCCTCCTCCATCCTCCCTGTCAGCCAGATGATCGATAAGGTCAAAGGTTACTGCTCCACGCGCACCGACAACTTCTACAAGAACATCATCATGTCGGACAGCTTTGTGAACTGCACCAGGCTCTGAAGGTTCTGGTGGGACCTGGACCCGGCCTGGATGTCCTCCTGTCCTCTTTAAGGGTCTTCCAGTCAAAGAACTTTCCATGTGTAAATATTCCTGACTGTAGGTGGGATAGGGACTTCCTTTCAGCGGAAGATTCTTGGAATAAAGAAAGTAAAATGTTTTATTCTTCCTGGACTGATTCTGGAACGTTTTCCATCCAGGAGAAGCGGCTCCAACTTTCTACACCCAAAACTTTAAAAGAGAATTCATCTTTTGTTTTTATTGATTATCATGAAACAAAGTTTGCTCCTGTAGGAGCTTAGAAATGGGAATCCAGGAGGAAAACGTCACGGAGCATCTGGAGTCGGATTATAGCTTCCCATCTCTAAAATGTTCCTAAAGTCTTCTCCAGAACTTTTCATTTTTCCATCATTTAGCTGAGAGAAAAGGGAACAGATTCATGGAATGGGTTGGTTTGGGAACGTCACATTTCTGTTTTTCAGCTTGAGCCGGGATGAGTATCGGCTCTTCCAGGTCAGAGGTTCTGGTAGCTCCGAATAGAGTTGCTGCTCCTCAACATACAGCTCAGGTTCTGATCCAGAAGACTCCTGGTCTCCTCCCATGCCAACAGGGAGGAGACCCAGACCCTCAGGTAGGAATCTTTATCCCATCTGGTCCAGGAACACCTCCGGATCCTCTAGAAGGAGCTGTAGATAAAAGGGAATCTTCCAGAATTTTGTAAACTGATCGGGATTATCCGACTTAACCTGGATTCTGAGTTGAGAGGAACAAGCTGGAGTTCAGATCCGGGAATCTCCGGATGGAGGAGTTTCAGACACCCTGATGTGATTCTACTGTATGACCCGACAGAACCGCTGTGGGAAACATGACTGGGATGTTTGTAAACATCTTATTCGTGTTCTAACATTCCAGAGCTGAGACACGAGTCCTGGAAGGGTTCAGTCCCGATCATGAGTCAGTCTCTGTTTGGAAAACCGCTGACAGAACGTAGACAACAAACCGGATCATGTCCTGATGAACAAAACAGTTCAGGAACAAGTTTTCCTGTTTTTTTGGGAATGATTGACCATTTTCCTCCAGCGATGCTTCATGTGGAAGTTGAAGCTTCATGTGTTGGAAAAGACGTTTTTATTGTGTTTCTCATCAAAATGTTCAGAAAACGATTCCAACAAACTTTATTAAAAGCTCGGAGTAGAGCCGCTGCTCCTCCTCATCGGATCGCCTCCTGGTCTCCTCCCAGTGGAACAGACCTCGGACACTGGAGCGTTGAGGAGGTCTTCTATCGCCTAAACTGACGTCGTGATAAAGGGACATAAATGTGGGAATTTGTTTGTTTAGTTGTTTTTTAAGAAGATTTAATGAAGTTTTTTGTTCTTGTTCCGACTTTTTGGTTTTTAGAGTTTAGAGTGAAAACAAAAACATTTGTTACTCGGAGTCAGCCGGGTCCGGTCAGTGGTTCATCAGGAACGCATCGCTCCAGCCGGCCGGCTCTCTCACACACACACGCACACACTCACACACACAGCTGGTGTGATGCTGCACACACAGAAACAGGAATCAGATATCATTATGGTCAGAAAATGGAAAAATGAGTGTGAGACAAAACAGATTTCCGAAAGGAAAACCAGAACTATTCCATTCTCTTCCTTTAAACTCACACGAATGAATTTAGTTTCCTTGTTTGTCTCTGGGGTCAAAGGTCAGCGTGGTCTCTGAGGTGAGGAGGACGTTTGGTTGTTTAATCTCAGCTGCTGCTGGTAAAGTGGGAATCTGACAGTTTTCTGGAGCTCTTCACACTGAAGAACCGATAAAAGGAATGTTTGGTCCAAAAATGAAAAGTTTTATTCACCTCTGAAACCTCATCCAATCACGGTGAACTTCCTGTTCGTAACATTTGGATCCTGATGCATTAATCAAACTGTGCTGTCTGGGAATGCATGTGAGTGAGTTCCAGTCGGGTTCTGGAAGTTTCTACTTGTTAACCACAGAGTTTAACCCAGACTGCCAGCAGCAAGATGAGACGAAAGCACAGTTTGGGGGGTGGCATTGACCTGGAGTGTAGCTCAGCAGGTCTGTGTGTGGCGCTCATGTGTGTTTCTGCAGCCATCACACTCTGGGGGCGGAGCCTGAGAAGGAGCTGTCTCATTTTCCAAACTGTAGCTAGCGTTTCCCGAGAACGTGACTGCACAATCAGTCCATTTGTCTTTTGACTGTTTTCATTTCATTTGTTTTATATGAAGTAAAAACATATTTGAACGTTTCTGAGACTCATGCTGCTGTTAAACCCTGTATGGAGCTAAGTCTGTACCAAAACTTTGTCTGGTTAAAACGTTTCAACTTGAAAAAGAATTTCAAAATGAAGAATTTTGTAAAACAAAAAATGCATTTCAAATAAAAATACAATCAAACTAAATGAATAAAGTTCATTTGAATGTTGAGTTGATGCTTTATTTCCCTTAAAAACAAAAGTTTCGTGTTTTGCATTTAAGAGACTCGTTTCAGAACATTTAAAATTAGAAAAATCTTTAATTAAAAATTAAATTTGCTCTTCATTTGACTTGTTTTCATTTATCTTTAAAAAGATAACATAGCTTAAAAAATGTAAAATATCAATGAAATGATCATTGTATTTATTTTTTACACTTTTGGTCCTGATTTGTCTCCATACAGACTCTCCACAGAAAACCTTCATGTTTCACAGCTTTCCTTGTTCTTAGGATCAACCAAATCTGTTTTACTGCAGTTTTTGTTTCGTTCTGATAAAATAAAGTCAGAAACATTTTTCTAAGGTTGTGACTGAAGAGCATCAGCAGTAGGTTGGATGGTGGGATTCACCACATGAACATTTCTGATAAATGTTACTGTCCTGACAGAAGAAGCTCATTTCTGTGAGGTTTTACTCTTCTGAGTCAATCCCGTGAATCAGGAGACATTCTTTGTTCTCTCACAGCTCTGAGGTTTATTTCGAGCATGTGTTCAGCTCACAGATGTAAAATATGTGGAAGCTGTTGCAGTTTTCTTTGCCAGGGGTCACAGGTCGGAGAACAGAAGAGCTCTGGATGGTTCCTCTCATGCTGTATGGAGATGATGTGGTCGAGGGGCAGAAACCTGGAGAAAGCTCCGGTTTCTCTGCTGAAAGCTGCTTTTATTCCACAGAATGTGGAATAAAGTGTTCGGTTTGGAAGCAGCTCAGAGTTCCTGCGGTCGGAGGAGAGTTTTCAGGAGGAGAATCTGAACAACAGCAAGAAAATTCCCATGGTTCAAACGTCAGGAAAACTTATTTACAGGAATAAAAGCATCAATAACAGGAAATAAATGTCTCTGTGTCCTCCAGGTCTCCGTGATCGGGTTTATTTTGATTTTAGAGAAGAAATCCAGTTTCCTTCCATCTAAGCTCCCAGGATTACCTGTGACCTAGAAGAACCAGAACTCTGACATTCCATCATGAACCTTGGGAAGAGCATCCCTGTAAGGAGATCAGGAGACGGATGAGTTCAGCCCTCAATACAGTTTTAAGTATTATCACTAAATCATTTAAATATTATCTAAGGGACAGAAATCAGAAACACGAGGTTAGTTCTGTTGGGAGAGAAATCACCAGGAAGCCGAGTGACGACCTCACATCCAAACATCCTGACCCTCAAACACTTCAGGAGTGGCTGAGCAGCTCTGAGGATGTTTTGCAGTCGGCAAACGAAACTGTCAGCATGGTGAAGAGAAACCTTTCCTGTGTTTAAAAACAAAACAAAAATGAATTAGAAACTAGACACAGTAAGAACAAACCAAAGAAATGAAAACTAATTACATTTTCCTCCTTATTCCTGCTGCTGGATCCAGTTCCTCCTCCTTTCCCTCATCAGCCTTTCAGAAACGGAACATTTATTTTTATTTGACTTTATAACGCCATTTTATTGTGTTAAACTCACTTTAAGGTGATAAAAGGTCTTGTCCTGTAAGTCATCGCTTCCATCTGCTGGATTCAGGATTTCAGACGTCCATCAGGATCAGCTTCCAGGAGAACTTTGGAAAGAAGCAACAAGAAAACCAAGAGGAGCTTTAGTTGTTTCCCCAGAGAGAGATTCTGTCAGAAAACACCACAGAAGAAACCAGATCCGTCTGATTCGGCTTCGTTTGGTTTGAAAACACCAAGAAATTCAGAATTTGAGGATTTTTTTACTGAAATGTTGAAAATTTACATATTTTAATGTCAGTTTTACTGCCAGTGTCTCACCAGGGTTGCCACGGTAACCACCAGTTTCTCTTTGCCCCACCGGTGTTTCTCCCCAGAACCACATGTTTAGTTGTGTGTAATTTTATGTATATGTCACACAAAAGTGTGTGTGTGTGTGTGTGTTTGTACGTGCACGTGTGCGTGTATGTGTGTGTGTGTGCGTGTGTGTGTGCGCGCGTGCATGTGTGTTTGTGTGCGTGTGTGTGTGCGCGCGCGTGCATGTGTGTTTGTGTGCATGTGTGTGTGTGCTTGTGTGTGTGTGCGCGCGTGCATGTGTGTTTGTGTGCATGTGTGTGTGTGCTTGTGTGTGTGTGTGTGTGTGTGTGTGTGCATGTGTGTGTGTGTGTGTGTGTGTGTGTGTGTGTGTGTGTGTGTGTGTGTGTGTGTGTGTGTGTGTGTGTGTGTGTGTGTGTGTGTGTGGACTTATATTTGAGTTAACCTGATTTAGCTCTTTTGGTACATTTAAATCTCAGCCTCCTCTTTTCCCTTCCCTTCTCCACAGACTCGGTAATCGGCTTGTTTTCCTGATTTTGGCTGAAGCTTCCTGCTGTTCCAGTAAACTCACCACATGTACGTGAGCTTCTGAATAACTCACCGCTCCTCCGAGTGGAGCACAAGACCAACCCCAGAAGGCTTCACCTGGTTTTTCTGTCCTGTCTCACCTTCATCGTCCTCTCCTGCGTTTAAAGGCCAAACAGCTGCTGAAGGAAAACCGGCATGTTTGGTCCTCTGTGGTCAAGAACAATGCAACACATTCCGATTAGTGCTTGGAAGTTTGGAGCAGGAATCCAAGCTGCCTTCTTACCTCCCATAAATCTGGGATGAAGGCGGAGGAGGAAGAGGTTGACCAAACATCAGACCTCATAAAGTCCCATGTACCATCTATATAAGTGTGGTCGGAAGGAAGGGGAGACGCGTGGGAGGAGGAGGTTCACATGGAGTAAACAGAGTTCAGAACTAAAACGGGTCTGAATGTGTGCACCAGAAACCTGAGGAGAGGGTTAGAAGGAATCATGGAATGGATTTAAATCTGCTGAGTTTGAAATCAGTCTGAAAACCAGACAGTGAACCAGGATCAGTCTGTCCTGGAAAGCTAGTGAAGTCCACAAATGGCCCTCAGGCTCTACTGTGTATTTGGTGTTCACAGGTCTGGTTCCCATGGAAACCAACTTGTCTGATCGATCCCAGTGGCTGCCTGGTGGGATTTGATTCCCTGGGCTCTGCTGGGTCCCCGGTGGAGGTGGTCGCCCCTGGGTCCCGGGCTCGGCCGGCTGGGGGGTGGGAGGCTGCGAGCGGGCCTGTGGGCTTGCCGCTGATATCTCCCCGGACTCTGCCGGCTGCTGGTTGTGACCCCCCAGGGCAATTCTGCGCCTCTCGAGGGGGGCGGGGGCTTTTCTGGTCGTAGTCTCCCTGGGGTTCCTGTGCTCTGGGCCAGCTCCTGGATCTCTGGGACTTGGAGCTCCCTCCATCTCCTACACATCTTTGGGGGGCGGATCTGTGGCCCCTCACACTCTCTATTGGACGCTCCTATAGAGAAACCTTACATAAACAAGCGCGTGTACACACACAGGTGCTCACATGGTGCTCTCATAAGTATGGACTTGGGCACGTTCAACACATGTCTTAAGGCTGTGGTTGGCACTAAATGCACTGTGAGTTATTATCGTGTGATTGTTCAGTTAAACAATGTTGATTTTATATTTCCTCATCAGGTTGACACAGTGATAGTTTGCTCCTGCTGTATTGTTGTGTGTCCCTTATCTGCAGGTCTAGAAGCAGACTCTTGTTCGTCGTCCTTTTGTCTCTTCCTTTCTCTTTCACCTCTGTCTCCATGTCTGGTCGAAATTATAAAGCATCCAAATACACTGATACAGTTTTAAGTATCAGGCGTGACATTAAAGCAGACGCTCTGATGCTCCACCTGAGAGTAAATCTGTAAGGCTTGTCATCAGCATTCAGACATCAGTTCTGTTTGCTTCACAGCCAGACAGGACACGGGAAAATAAATGAATGAATAAATAAATAAACTTACATGTTCAGGCTTTGGTGTGACCTTCACCACCCTCTCCTTGTTCTGCTCTTTCTTATTTTACCTTTCCCGGGATCCACTGATTTCCCTCTTTCCTGTTCATTTTCTCTCTCCCTTTTCTTCCATCTCATAATTACACTCTTCTCTTTTTTGTCATTTTGAACATTTTTTTATTATCATTTAAAAAAAATCTTTTTATATTTGAAGTTTTTTGTTTTAGTGATTTTTATCTTGAGAGGCTTTATATAAAAGATTGTTTTCTTTTTTTTCCGATAACCGAGACCTGAATCCTGACTGGAATTCTAGCCTCTGAACCAACAATTCCTTCCTTCACCCTAGAGACCGTAGAGGTGGTTGCGATTCCAGCTCGTGCCACTACTAGTTGGCAGCGTGACGGTTTGGAAAGAAGAAAATTTCTAAAGAAGGTCAAGAAATGCTATTATTTGATTTTAAAAACGTTTCACTCCATGTTGTACTAAGATTTCCTTTTAAATCGCCAAATTAATCCTTTTATTTCCCTGTTTCTTACATTGTGAATTTCCAGAGAAGTAGCATGTGAAGTAGCCACATGCTAACGGACGCTTATCGGTGTTCGCTTCGGCTTTTCCGGTGTACCGGAAACTACAACCAGAGCTACTAACGTTCGAAACGTACTTTGTTTAGAGTTTTTCTCTGACTTGTGAAATGAATGAAGTACTAACAGCTTCTTCGTGTGTGTGTGTGTGTGTGTGTGTGTGTGTGTGTGTGTGTGTGTGTGTGTGTGCGTGCGTGCGTGCGTGCGTGCGTGTGCATGTGTGTGTGTGTTAAAGGTGAGACTGTCTTGAAGTAAACATTCCCATCATGAGCCAGGATCCGGATCAATGCTCCAGGAGGAGTTCCTCATCTCTGTGATGGCTCACCTGTTCCAGGTGAGGTCCTGACCCAACCCACTAGTCACTTTGGGTCAGAACACGGGCCACACAGAACCTATAGGAGTTGAACTGGCATCACACGGACTAAAGGAGCTGAGACATTTTCACCATTTATCCTATTAAACATCTTTTCTAGCCTAAAATAGGACATGATGTTCGTTAATTTTATTCACCGGGATGACACGGTGTAGTGTTACACAACATGGGACTTTTTTACCCGGAAGTTTTTCATGATTGTAGAAAATGAGTCGGAGTTTTTCTCAGA